TGGGACTATCCGAATTCTTTCCTCCATAGGGACATCCTCATTTTGGTCAGGTAGAGGAATATTTTCGTTCTTTCTAACATACCTCCACTCCTCATAATCTGGCAACAACATCACCTTGGCTGCCTTAAATCTAGTATGGAAAGTCTTCTTCCATTCTCTAACTGCCTCAAGGATGTTTTTCTTATAATTGTTTCCGTGAAACACAAACTCAGATATGCAATCCAGCAGTGACTGGGACAAATTGACGTCCATTATATTGCCTAAAACCAAAAGGGGTGCGTACCCAATTCCACCCCATAAACCAAGCAACATAACCCAATTATAGTCACCACATTTATAGAGGATCTCACTTTGTATTTGCCAAGGAACACACCAAACGATGTCTTTGTCTAGCATATTTCTAAAGGCATCTATCCACATGTCTTTAGTGACTTCTTTTGGCCAATCTTGCTCGAGGAATTCTCTCAAAGGTGAGTAGCAGGTACTAAACCGATAATATGAAATCTTTTCAATTTTCCAAAAATGGCTACGTATCCAGCCATATAGTAGTTATGCGCATCTTGAAAATCGATCACCTCAAAGCCTTCGATAAGCATTCAAGGATCGAAATGTCTCTGCTAAAATCACAGGAGCAGGGTTGATCTTTTTTGGTAACTGTTCAAATAAATCCACAACTGCAGCCTCAATATATCCCAAGGCCTTCGGGAAGATGACTAAGCCATAAATACCCAGTGCAAAGAGATCAAATCGTATTTTCTCGTCAGGATGACTTTGAACGATTTCCTTAATAGCAGTCTAAGAAATACATTCGCCTTCACCTTTTTGTTTAGTACGAGAAAGCACCCATTCCTCGCGCACTCCTGCAATTTTTGCTAATTTGATTCTGAAGGGTTAAATTTTGATGGACTTGAAATAAATCCGATTCTCTTGAGCCTCTTCTATTTGCAACAAGGCAATATGTTCTTCAATGGTAGGAACCATATCTTCTTGATTAAAAGTGAAACAGTTGTATCATGGATTCCAAAATTGAATCAAGGCTCGGAGCAGCTCATCATCTATGTCAACATACAACATATAAGAAATATCCCATAACACTGGTAAAATTGCATTTTCTTGCTCGACTCCATTTTTCCCAAATGTTTCGTAAGTCTTGCACGTCATTTCTTTTAAGAGAAACATGAGCATAACCCAATAAATCTGACACATGATCGGCTTGCAAACTATCCCCTTCTTGTCTTTACAGTGCTTCAGACCACTGTTGTACCTCAGAGTTTTAAACAATTTGACTCAAATACTTTTCGTCCATTACTGAAAGCTTTCCAATTTGACGATTAACTAAAGATCAACACCCTCAATCTTGAATGATGCAATGCAAATAGCAAAAATAAAAGAAAAATCAACAAAGAAAACGAGTTAGTACGATAATGAGTTAATAAAATTTTGGAAAAACACCTACCCATCATGACCTAAACATGCTTTTTTAATAAATAACAATCCTACCCAAACATGCTTTTTATCCCATATACTTAAAATAATAAGATAAACCTTAAACCGCATAATTTTCTAATTCACATGCATTTATAAAAATAAATAATATATTAAAAGACAAAGTTTAGAGTTAATTTCTCCTTTGTGTACACTTATTTGGGAACCTATGGACAGAGTTTCGACCTGGTCTTAGATCGGGTGGGTTTCTACGATTTATTGCATGCAGAGTTTCAATTTTAAGAGTAAAGGTACTCGAATTGTCCTTGTCGGTGCCCCCTTGGGTGGGCTAGACCCTCAATCCTCACCCATTATAGGCTTAAGCGGATCGAGTTCAATTCGAGGGGGAACATTTCCCTATGCCTGACATGGAGAATAAATCCTCACGAAGACATAGGATATATGAACCCCGGAAGCTAATTGCTAGGTTGACACGGAGAATAAATTCTCACGAAGACGTCGCTTTCACTCCCACTTAAAAGGAAGAGCTCGGGTATAGAGCTTATGTTATGCAATGCAAGTGTCGTGTGTGAGGAGAAATTATCAAACCTTTGACAAACAACCACACAAAAATGAACTAAAGCGAATCTAAGATTTTAATATCTGAAAATCAATCAAATGCACACATTAGTATACAAACTATAAAATTAAATAACGATTGAATGAAATCAAAGGAATCGAAAATTAAATACAACTAACTTCTCAATTTAACTATAGAGACAATATATAATCGATTTATGGCTTGACCCTCTAATTCTCCAGCGGAGTCGCCAAGCTGTCGTAACCGATTTTCGACGATACGACGAGTCTCGACTTATTTTGTGAAAACTCGATTTTGTAAAAGAAATGTTTATGAGTTGCCATCGACCTTTTAAGTTAGGTAGGTCGAATACCCAAAAATCTTCTTTTAAAAGAGTTTTTGAGAAAAATACCATTTTAAAAATGCACCGATCCATGTATAACCAGAAATTCATTTTTTAGTAATAAAAGGATTTTGGGGGTCGATTATATGTGGGGAAGGATAAGCACCCCCACAACGCCTAAAATTGGTACCATCGATTATATATTGTCTCTAAATAGTAGAAATCTAAGAATTCGAATATATATTTAAATCACGATTCCATTATTCCTAATCTAACCATACAAATATTATAGAACAAAAATTCTAAAGAAAAATATAAAATATTCTCTTATTTCCAATTGAAGAGAAAATACTCCATAAAATACTTTAGGACGAATATTTCTCTTTCCAACTGAAATAAAAGGAATATAATAATTTTTCCTAAGAATTCAATATTAAAATAATTTTTATTCTACCAAAGAAAGAAATTAAATTCATTAATCCGAATTATATTATTAGAAAAGATAAGGGATATTAAATAATTTAAAAATATCGAGACTTAATCCCTAATAAAATTAGCAAATTGTCTCGATAAGTTTAAAATAGTGAATATTTCCGTTTCCCTTCAAAATTAATTAATTTTAAATGCAATCAATTTTTAGGTTTTTCTAGTGGAATATTTATTTATTTTAAAATATCGAAAAATGTCATCTAGTTGTCTTAAGACTGTCCCTTCTTAATATTTTAAAATACATAAATAATACCCTTAATCCAATTATGTAATCTGTTAAGTTATGCTAATGAGGCTTTTAAACAAAATAAAATATGATACATTGAAGCATTTAGAGAATATATATATATATATATATATATATATATATAAATGCACATATGGATAAAAAGAACAATTTTAAATTTATTTCTAACTTTATTTTACTTTATAAAAAAATATTTTCTAAATATTATATTAAACATAGAACATAATATTTATTCTAAAATATAATAAAAATGTAAAATAAAATATTTACATCATGCTATAATATTATGTACAAAGTAATATATAATAATAATACAAGCAAAATAAATATCTAAAACATAAAACATTCTTTAATGGTAAAAATAAACAATATACATATGAATCTACTCATTACATGGTGATAAAAATAAATTTATAGTAACCTTAGGATCTTAAACATTAATAAACAAATATCATGGCATGAAACAAGAATATAACCAAAACAGAAGCACTAGAATCATAATAAAACCATAACTATAAGACTAAAATGGAATATCATAAATATCAGAACCCAATTTCGAACAAAAAAATACATACAATAGAGGACTAAATTAAAATAATATGAAACCAAGCATCTAATTCGTAAATCTTAGAAAATAAAAAGAAATAGGGACTAAAACGTAAATGCACTGAAGCTAGGAGGACCTATGGCTCGATTAACCCTAAAAAGTTACTAAAATGTGAATCAACTTAAACAGAAAAGACAAAAAGGGTGATTTAACCCTAAACTAGTGACTAAAAGGCAAAACACGTAAAAGGTATAGGGACCTTAGCGTGGTTAACCCAAAAAACCTAAAATATCAACTCTTTCCCCATTTCCAGATTTCATTTCGCACGATACCCTCAACCCCAACTCTCATTTCCCTTTCTTCTTCCCTCAACCCACGACAGTCGCTCACTCTAAAAAAAACCGAAGCATCACCGCCTCGGCCACCCTACATGGGTGGCCATTCCCTCAACTTCCCACCATCACCTTGTCAAAACCCATCGCCGATAAACCCTGACGAAAACCCATTCTAGCCCCCTCGTCCATCCTTTGACCGAGAGATATTATACCCAAAACGAGCCATCATACACGGCAGAGCTGCTGCCTAAACTCAACTAACCTGACTCCTATCACTTCCCCTACAACCCTATTCGCCAAGGAGTACCAAAACCGTAAGGTAAATCCTTATACTTCTAATTTATTTTTTTGTCTTGTTTTATTATCTTTTTAAAAAAACAAAGAGAAAACGAAGAGAAAAAGAAAAACTAGCTTAAAAAAGGGCTCTTGTATTTCTGCTTAAAAAAAAACTGAGAGGAACCCAAGATCCCCTCTCTTGTTACATAGCTCGGTTCTTATAACCGATTTTACATAGGTTTAAAAACAAATAAAAATCCTAGATCTATTATGGATCTACTGTGTGAATGATGATATGTTTTTAATGCCCCGGATATTCTGGGGTTTTGTTAATGTCTCTGACAGGCTTTGACCGGCGTGGAAGTGGCGGTGGATGTACTTGGAATCGGCGACGACGGTTGTAGGTATGATATCTCTAGGGTTAGGATTAGGGTTTGGGCCTATACTTGGGTCAATGTGTCTGATTTTTTTTATTTGGGCTTGGGTTGTTTGGGTTTTAGTTAGGGTCTGTTGGGCTTGAGTCTTTGAGGTTTGGGGTTATGGGATTTAGGGTATGAAAAAGGGTGTTTACAAATATCTTTAAAAATAAATAAACTAACATAAGTACAACTTTATTCAAGCCCAATTCATTTACCCCTTACACCTTACATTCTTGACATATAATGGAAAGTCAGAAAGGACCAATTACAGTTGTTGAATGGAGTGACACAATAAATGCAGTTATATCAACATTAATCTGTCCATTCATTACTAGATAGTCAGTTCTTCATAAAGGTGATCAGTTTATCTCTAGGGGGCATGTGCTCCTTAACAACATTGCAGCTTACAAACTCTTCACACCATTTGATCAACAAGGGGAATTGTTCTGCATTCATAAAGTCTAGCCCTGAAACTTCTTGAATGCATCTAAGCCAAAATGCAATGAAGTTTGTTGATATGTCAACTAGTCCGATCGTCTCTCCCACAATGAATCGCTTCCCATCGAGCACGCTTTCGAGCTCTTTCAGACACTCTCTTACTTCTTCCATGGCCTTCTCTCGCTCTTCCCCGCTTCCCGGAAGAGCTTTCCACACCCGGACGCATGACCTGTGATGAACAGCAGGAAATATTCATAAACAAATATGGGTGTCTTCTACCTGTCAAAGCCAAAGGAAGCAGCTTGGATATGTGAATGGCCAAACTTTTTGGGTCATATTTGAATTATGAATTTTTGGAAGGGTCAAAATGCAAATTTACCATTACATTGATTTACAACTTTATAGATTTTGTAGGGATCAAACTACAATTTTATTATTTTTGAGGTCAAATAGGGATGTAAAACCAACCGTTCGATGGAAATTTCCTTTATTTATTAAAATAAATAACATGAACAAAATTTTCTATTAGTTTAATTAAATGAACGAACATGAATAAAATGCTCATTCATTTATTTATTTTCGTGATTGTTCGGTAATCTATTCGTTTATGTTCGTTTAAATTTATGCACATTCTCTTCCACGTACTTGAAGGAACGCCTTTCAATTCCAAAGCAATCTCCACCCTGCGGCTAAAAGGGCTTCCCCAAGCTCCAAACACCTTCAACTCTTCTTCACCCATGGTGAAGCACTTGAAAATGCAAAACTCTTCTTTGGGTCCTTGTAATTTATTCGAAGCCGATTCCATTTTGCTTTCATTGATCGAACAATGGTTGGCTGAAGATGGGGTTGTTAGAAAGTGTTGAATATAAAAACAAAAGGTCAAGGGATTTTCCTTGTAAAAGATGGAGCTAAGAAACAAATTCAGTGTTTAATGGCGTTTTCGTTTCCAGCAATGAATGGGAATCTTAATGAGATAATGGGCTATTAGATTGGAATTTTAATAGCCTAATTACAATTTTTCAGTGGTTTTTTTTACCTATTAGGACATTAGGGTTTTTTTATTTAGTCTATTAGGACATTCGAGATTTTTATTTTGGAAAATACGAAAAATATTATAATGAAACTGGAACTTGTCACTTTGAGGTGACGAGTTCTAACAAAATAATTTTTTTAATTAAATTTTATTACATCAAGGTAAAAAGTTTGAATGAAAATATTTTTTACTAGAACTCGTCACCTCAAAATACTGTATATCCCAAAATAAAAATGCTTTTGCCATATTTTGTATTTTTTTGGGCTGCCCTATTGGGCCAAAAAAACCATTTTCCATAACCATAAGCTGGCATAGGTTTTTTTAGCCTATTAGGGTATTCGGTTTTTTTATTTAGCCCATTAGGGTACCTGATTTTTTATTTTGGAGAATACGATAAATGTTACAGTGGAACTAGAAGTTGTCATCTCGAGGTGACGAGTTCTAATAAAAATATTTTTATTCAAACTCGTCACCTTGAGGTCACGAATCAACTTACTTCAATGGTTAAAGAAATCACTATTTTTCCTAGAGGTCACGGGTTCGAGTACCAACGGTTGCAGTAGGGTGATTAAACATTCATTTTCAAATGGTTGAAAGTGTTTAGAACAAATATTATTTTGTAATCGCCTTAACTTAATAATAAAAAAAAGTTGGCAGTCATTTTTTCTTATTTTTTTAAGTTAAAAGGGAAAATAAAATTACACCATGATCTTACATAAGGAGGTCCTTGAATATCCCTTGTGATGAGATCCAAAATAGTGGAAGGAGTAGTATTAAAAAGAATAAAAGAATTTGTGGATAGTTTTGATAACCAACATACAAATTATGATATTATTTATATTTATTATAAAAAGTCTCATTTTTCATGTAATCAACGATACTATCAAAAAAACGAATTAAGTGATTTCAGCGATTAAGAGATTGTTGTTATCTCTTGAATTATCAAATTTAAATACAATGTGATTTGCAGAGTAGTATGACCATTAATCATCATATTAATTGAGTCTTTCTAATAAACATCACCTTGTATTCATTCCGAACTAATAAAAAAATGATATGATGAGACTAATCAACATCTTTATTTGATTTTCTCTTTATAAATGATTCAAGTTAGATAAAATCAACGCCTTGTATTCACCCAAAATTTTTAAACAAAAATAATTCATGAACTTAATATTGTAAAATTAAAATTTATACACTAAATTTTAAATTAATATCAAGACTCCTAATACATTTAAATCTATATCTGAACCCTAAATCTAATCCTTAAATTATACCTAATTTCCACTTCAACCGCATTAACCAAAAGTGAAAAAAAGACAAAAATAATATATTAGCAATTAATATGATACTTCAATTTCAGTCTAAATTCAAAGAATAATCTAAGTAAAGTGTAACATATATTTTTAAGCGATTCAGATTCAAACAACTTAAAACATAAAGTGAACGGCAATTTAAATTATAGGGTAAAGCACATAAATGGTCATTCGACTATATGATATTATTTTGTTGAGTCCTTTAACTATTAAAAACAATAAAATGGTCCTCCGACTCAACAAAATAAAATCACATTAAAATGCTAAAACATATGAGAATAATGCTTTGATTCCTCTTGCTTCCATGTCTTAATAACAATAAATTATATGATAAATCCTTCCTACCATGATCTAATCAATAAAAAAATACATGTAATATAATTTAAATCATATTTTATTTTTACCCAAACCATTAATTATAGTAGAGTTAAAAAAAAGCTACAATAACTCATTTTCTAAATTAAAAAAAAGGAAAAAAATGGATTTTTACTCTTGAAATGATTTTCTTTAAAAAGAAAGCTATAATTTTCAAAAACTAATAGCAGCAAATTTCTTTCTCAAAAACTAAAATTGTCAGTTATAAAGCAAAATTCGCCATAATAATTGCCATTCAATTCAAATAAAAGGAAAAAGAAGAAGAAATAAACCAACAACTTGTTGATATAGTGGGATGAGGCTAGGGATGGGTATGGGTCCGATCTGAAAAATATATACCTTCCACCCGACCTGAAACGACCCGATTTTTGAGATAAAATCTCAACCGACCCGAAATAATAAAAAAAATATTTTTATTCAATAAAAACAATGATTTAATTAAAAAAATAATATATAGAGTGATATTATTGTAATCATTCCTAAATATATAAGATAAATTTATATTTTTTGGATTGAGTTGAGTATTTTTCACCCTAAACTTGAACCCGACCCGACCCGAATATCGCCTTTTAAAAAAACCGACCGACTCGACCCGAAACTAAAAAAATCAACCCGATCGGGTTGGGTTGGGTCGAAACCCATCGGGTTCAAGTCCCATGCCCATCCCTATATGAGGTACTAGATCCCTTAAACAATATAAGTAGTTCGAATCCTGATAATTGCGAATGGAACAAATTTGGTTGGGAATGTTATCTTTACCTCTATAGTACCCGATTTAGATTAGTCAATTATTATTTTTTAATGATGAGTGACCAAAACGTAATACTATGTATTAGGGGTGTTCATTCGGTTAAAATGGTGGCCGACAGAACTGAATTATCATTAACTGAATTAACCAAACTTTTTTTTTCTTTAACCGTTAACCGAACCGAACTTTTTTTTAAAAAATATTAACCGAACCGAATCAATTTCGGTTAATTTTTGAATTAACCGAAAATTTTTAAATTTTTTTAATTTATATAAAAATTGAATCTTTTTTAATTCAAAAAAATAGTTTACAATTAATTTAAATAATATATAATTATAAAATAAAAATTTATATGAATTTTTTAATTAATTAATATTGATTTAGGTTTAAAATTTATTAGATCTTAAATTATTAATTAAGTTTTAAATGGTTTGGGCTGAGCCCATATGTTATATATAATATATTTAAAATTTAATTTCGGTTAATTAACCGATTTCGAACCGAATTAACCGTTAACCGAATTCTAAAAAATTTATTAATCGTTCTTCGACCGAACTAATTCGGTGGCCAACCGAATTAACCAAACTAATTGATTCGGTCGGTTAATTCGGTTAAAACCGAAAAATGAACACCCCTACTATATATGATTTAAAAAAATAGTTAAGCAACCAAAATAGAAATAAATAACAAATGAGTTGCCAAATAGGTATTTTACCCTTCAAAAAATCCATGAAAGAGAACACACACAAGATTAAACCTTATAAAAAATCCATGGATTTAAATGCATAGATTCTCATCACCTTACCTTATTTTTCAAACACAGCCTAGAGATTTTCAAGCCCTTTTCTTGTCTCCTTCTTTAGTCATGATCAGTTTTACGATGATTTTCTCGAAAAATAAATTTTTCCTTAAATATTTATGTGTTAGACGTCCTTTTAGATAATATTAACGATCTAACACCCCTTGTAGAAAGGCGCAATTCATACACCGCGTCTTATGCCAGGTGTTGAAAGGTGACCCATGTACCGCGACTTACGTAGTGTAGAGACCAAATGTTAATTTCGTATTTTTTTTAAAAATGATGCCTAAAATATAATTAATTTATGTTAGGATAATTTTTATGTAAAAACTTCAATTTATTATTTATTTTTTGTGTGTGAAAAATATTTTTTTGCATTAAAATCTTTAAATATTCTTTTGCAAATTATTTTTTAACTCGACAAATTTTAATTTTTACATGAAATTACACAATACATATAATTTAGTATAGGAAAACTTTAAGGGTAAATAATTTAAAAAATGAATAATTTTATAAAAATTTTATAACTAGTATTTCTTTTACAAAATGATGATGATGATAAAAAAATATTATATAATTTAAAAAATAATAAATTTCATATATTTTAAAAAAAATTATTGACTTTTAAAATTAATTGTTTAAAAATATAAAAAAAAATTAAAATAAAATTTTAATTACAATTGAGGGATCAAATGAATTATTATTCATTAATTATTATTTTTTAACAACAGATAATAATGTTTATTCATTTTTAATAAAATTAGAATTTAATATTTATTTTATATTTTTTAAAATTAATATTAGAAATAATATTTTAAATATATAGGTGATATTTTTTATCTTTACATTCTTTTTTATTGAATTTTATTCGCTTTCAATTCTTTTTTTATTGTATTTTTATTGAATTTTAAATATATGAGTTATAATTCAAATTAATCATTTATTCTGCTATTATTCAAATTAATTAAAAAAAATTATGATAAAATACTTCTAAAAGAAAAGTATAAATACATACATAAAAATCTAAATATTTTTCTTTCTTTTGTGTTACTCTCTAAACTAATAAAAAAAAATTCAATAAAAAAAAAGAATGTAAAACTAAAAAATAATTAATAATATTTAATCATTTTTAATAAAATTGGAATTAAAATATATTTTTTAAATATATAAGTGATATTTTTTAAATTATATAATATTTTTTTATCATCATCATCATTTTGTAAAAAAATTACTAGTTATAAATTTTTTATAAAATTATTCATATTTTAAATTATTTACCCTTAAAGTTTTCCTATATTAGATTATATGTATTTTGTAATTTCATACAAAAATCAAAATTTGTCGATTTATAAAATAATTTACAAAAGAATATTAAAAGATTTTAATGCAGAAGGTTTTTTTTCACACACAAAAAATAAATTAAAAAAGTTAACGTTTTACACAAAAAATCACTCTAACAAAAATTAATTACATATTATGCACCGTTTTTTTTAAAAACATTACGAAACTAGCTTTGTTTGCCTGTACCAAACTTGAAAGCTACAAGCTTCTGGGTTTCGAAATCCGTTAAAAGCTTGTGCTACAGAGCTATAGAGCCAAATGTACGTTACTTAGACAGATTAGATTCTAGTGGCATGACTACTAACAACTCTGCGGTTTGTGATTCACTTGGTTTTGAAGAAAAGAACGCAGAAATGGAGAGTTCGGTTGAGAAAATGAAAGCTTTGGGGGTCGTGAAAGTAGTTCAAGCTCTGTTCTTTTGACGTCAGAGACAACAGTGCACGGGGATGAACACAGTCACAGTAGTTCTGAGGAAGGAGATATATTCACCGCCTTCAGTTCACAAATGACAAATCCAGCTCAGTTGGTAGTCCTGAGGCCGTAGGATCGAGTAGCCTACTATCTTATCTCCCCTTACCCCATTACATATGGGAACAAGGGATAGCCATTTTATTTTGTTGATGTGTTTGGAAATGGGGTTACAGAGATTGAGTTGATGAAGGAAAGATTTGCAAAATTGCTGCTCGGTGAAGATATGTCAGGGTCTGGAAATGGTGTTTGCAATGCCTTGGCTATTTCAAATGCCATCACCAATCTTTCTGGTAATGCTGACAGCTTCAATTTGTTTGATCTTTAACATAGTTTTAATAAATTTGATTTGTCAATGTTGGTATTTGTTTATGATTTTTTGTTGGTTGATTGGTTTTGGCTATTTCTCATTCACTGCCTTAACTCTGCAGCCACCTTGTTTGGGCAAATATGGAGGTTAGAACCAGTACCTCATGAGAAGAAATCAATGTGGCGACGAGATATGGAATGGTTTCTTTCTGTTAGCTATCACATTGTCCAGTTGATACCGACTTGGCGGACATTCCCGGACGGAAGCAAGCGTGAGGTGAAACAGTGATTTTAATATGTGACATTAGGGCTGTTTTGAGATATAGTGACCAAAATGCCATGTCACTTGCTGTGATTTCAGGTCATGAATTGCAGGCCCCGGTTGGATCTCTACGTCAACCTCCCAGCTTTAAGAAAATTGGACAACATGCTTCTCGTATGATTCACCGCCTTGTATTGCGATTATGTTTGCGGAGCTTATTTTAATGTAGCATATGCTATTTTGCAGGAGATATTAGATAGTTTTGTTGATGCAGAGTTCTGGTATGTTGACCAAGGGATTCTAGCTCAGCAGGCGGATGGATCAACCCCTTTCTGAAAAGCCCTTCAGCGTCAAGAGGAGAAATGGTGGCTTCCCTTGCCTCGTGTGCCGCCAGGAGGCCTCAATGAAAATTCGAGGAAGGAGTTGCAGCATAAACGTGACTGTGCAAACCAGATCCTAAAGGCTGCAGTGGCTATCAACAACATTACTCTAGCTGACATGGAAGTCCCCGAATCATATTTCGAATCTCTTCCAAAGGTAAAAGGAACTAAATATAAATTAGGTGTATAATGTATGCATTCTATGAGGTGTTAACTTCTGCTGGAATTTGTTTCAGAATGGCCGAGCTAGCTTAGGAGATCTTATTTATCGCTATATTTCATCCTATCTGTTTACGCCTGAAGTTTTCTTGATTGCCTTGATTTGTCCTCTGAGCTTCTTTGCTATTGAAATTGCCAACCGAGTGGAGGCCTCGATATATCTGTGGCGCAGAAAAACCAATCCCAAACCTGTCCACAACACAGCTCCCTCTAGTTCAAAGTCGTCATGGGACATGGTCAAGGACCTAATGGTGGAAAAGAGAAATACTCGCAGATTGAGCCGAGAGCCTACTTCTTGCGTGAAGCAGCGGTTCGCAGGTCTTCCCCAGACCTCTTTAGATATGAGCAAGATTCAGCACAACAAGGTTGTGTTACTAGTTACACTTTCAGATTTGTTCTCAAAAAGGCTTTTAATTACAAAAGTCATGCTGATAACTAAGTATCGTGGTGTTAGGATATTGGAAATCCATTCTGGAAAGCTACTCGAGAGTTTTGGAGAGCTTGGCATTTAACACTGTGGCGTGTATCAATGATCTGTTTTATGTGGATCATTTGACCAAGCATTCAGGTCAGTTCTCTTCACCGAACAGAGTTGGTGTAATTGGTCGGAGGAGTCTTTCGACTCCATACCACATGGCCTTCTCAAGCACTCCTTATAGAACTGCATTTACGACTCCTAACTTCTCACCAGCGCATCTAGTTAGCCCTGCAAGGAGAAAGACCACAGCAAGGGGATTGGAGTGAAAAAGGCCTTGCTGATAGATTATCTCAGTATTGATTTAAGAGATAAGGAATACCGTAATTCAAACGAAGAAACAGAATCCGGGTTCAAGCATAGCTCAAGCAACATTGGTATCGTTTGAAAGTCTAGACGAGGCAGCGAGCCTACCAAAACCGGATCCCTCCGACTATTCCCACAGAAGAGCCCTGGTGTTGCCCCATGATCCAATCTCCCGAGACAGCAGTCTTTCAACTGTTTCTATTTGTTTTTTTTTTTTAAATATTTGGTAGGAATAGGGAGATGCTTGAGAATGACGAACAGACGCCGTGTTATTCAATCTGTATCGTCTGCGTAGTATGTCTTTAAACAATCAATGGTTGTCTGATTCATGCTTGACTGGACATTTTTTAGTCTCTTTCATTTTGCCAATTGAACACAAAGAAAAGCCAATAGAATCGACAACGAATTCCGGAAGTACGATTCGTTTGACAATGGCCAACAGATTTAAAAAGAATGTTTCAACAATCCTGAATACAACTATTGGTAAAAGTAACATAAAAATCTTAATCAACTTTCACGATAAATGCGGTTGCAGACTATGTTTGCTAACCCTTTCGAGTCTTTCTTTAACGACCATTTAAAGGCATTGCGGTTTGCCCCCACCAACTGATAGATAAAGACTGCTTGAAATCTGTGGGTCTAAAGCTCCCCAATTTGGGTTTAGTTATGCTCTTTGGATTGTTAATTAAGGGACAAAAGAAGCCAACACAAGCATGGAAACAGATGCCGAAGCACAACTTGTATTCATCATTCATACTATCAAGGTCACTTGAGTACATAGTCCACATAGAATTGAAAAAAGAAAGTAATAGACTAACTCTCCTCATTCTTCACAGAGAGAAGGGAGTTGAACTGGTATATTGTCCTGCACAAACAAAATGAAGAAAAAAAAAAAAGATATCAACCTTCCAGTTAAAAATGCTTCGTTTCCTGATAATATACCAGATAATACCTTGCCACCAGTTCCTCTGGTTGCATATCCCGATCATCTTCTCCATTATCCTTGTACTGGAATGTTACGGGGGGAAAGCATGTTAGTAGATTCCTAAATCGAAAGATAAACATTTAAACTATTCAAAATTTGTATGCAAAAAGAATGCTCAAGTCACTGGATATGTTCATGGCTGTAGGACAACTGATGTACTCACCACAGAGTCTATTCCAGAGCCTGCTTAGTCTGGGGCGAGGGCATACGTCTTGGCCGCCATAGTAGATCGATGAACTCAGATGACATGGTTGTGCGCATTGCTGCGGATAAATGGAACTCAGTTCTGCATTTAGAGAGTTTCAGACAGATTAGTGCACCACGATCATTGGACGCATCATAAAAGAATTAGTTTCAAGAAACAAGCAAAAGTAATATATAGGTTTTACACAAAATCTATAATGTACTCAGAAGACTGGCCCTGTTTTGCTCTAATGTACAAGCAATAGTGTTTAAACCAAATACCAGAGTAAGGACTTGCAAGAGAATAAGCAAAATAAAATCGGCTAAAAGCAGTAAGTGGTGCACAAACCAGAGTTTCCAGGATTTGCATTCAATGGCTCATTCGGGGAATCCTGCCTCTGCCCACCAGAGACTCTCCTCCTGGAACCTAAAAACCAACACAAGCATGGTCAAACGATCGAAAAATGAAAGAAGCATAAACACAAAATTGGCCTTAAAAGAAAACTTGCATGCCATGCAGATGCTAAAAACCAATACAAGAAACAAGAGAAAAAAAGAGGAACAATCAAATAACCAGATTGAATGAAGAAAAGATTGAATCTTTGAAACATTGAATAGCAAAGAAAACCCAGAAAGATGGAAGTTCTAAACATGATGAAAATACCTTAGGTTGAGTAGGAAATAGAGACTCTAAAATCCTTGAAGGAGATGAAGGTGACACTTTTGAGCCAAAGAGTTGAGATGAAGAAGAAGACTTGGTTCCTTTGCCTCGTTCCATTTCTCTCAGCAGATTCGACTACTATTCTTATTCTCTAAACAAAACTTGTTACCATGAACTCCTTTTAGTATCCAACGGAGAGAGGTCTCTATATATAGAGAGATAAGTGCTTGAAAGAAAGCGCTCAGAGGAAAGAACAAAGAAAGAGAGACGAAAATAAGAAGATAACTGTATGAAACTGAATAATTACCTTAAAATCCTTATGTTTCCATTTATGTTCTGTCGTCCTTCTGCATTGTGTTGACGGATGACAGATTTCTGCCACGTGGAAGCCATGAGTGTTTAACTGCCTTCAACCGTTTACTGCCAAGACGACTCCTATGGATTATTCGGGGGCCTTACTATGGAGAATTCATTTAGCGGTGTCCGTCAAATTAATAAAAAAATATCTTTCATTTCGATTAAAACCATGACCTCAAGTATTAGGAAAGCTTTCTCCATTAGAATTCTCTCGATCAAAATCATTATTCTGTAAAAGATAAAGGGTTATTATTTTAAAGTCACTATGCCCCCAAAATTTTCTTTTCTCTGTGTTTTTATTTTGTTCTTCATTGTTATTATGTGTTTCATTAGTTTTTTCTTTTCTAATTGGAGCTTTATCCCAGTGAATTGTGCTTGATTATGCGTCTGTGCTCTTCTATTCCACTTATTGTATTTTCAATTTTTTTAATTTGCTTATTGAATTTTAGATACTGAACTTTTTTCATTACTTTTCGTTAATTTTGTAACGGTGTTATGACGTGGCATAATTAAATAATATTTTAATGTTAAATGTATGTAAGAAAAAAAGTTTTTTATTTCCTCTTCATTTTCTCCTCTTTCTTTCTTTCTCCCTTAAAAGTCAGAAGTGTATTTTATTTTATGTTGAGTGAGAGTAAGAAAACATAATTAGAGTAGATTTTGGCTATGCAAGCTTCTTTCGTAATCAAGTAACTATTTATAAATAGGTAGGGATTAGAGTTAAAGTCAAGTTGTTTAATGGGCATCATTACCTTAGTCCTCACACCAACACTAAAAATGAATATATAAAACACCATGTATGATTCAAACCGGAGACTTCACTCTTTTTCTCTCTCTCTCAGACTTTCTCTCTCGATAACTATTCATCGTCCTCTTTAGCTCGTTTGCTCTCTATTTCCCCTCCACCGAAAAATTGGTTGTAGTTATCCGCTTAAATCAAAAGGGATGAACCGTCAAAAGTTACCACAATCCAAGGTCTGACTTAGTATTTAACTTTATTTGTCTAATTTAGTATTTAAACTTAACATTAAGATTCAATTTAATACTTAAACCTTTTTAAGACAATCGATATCTGAACTTAGTTTATTGGTTCAAGTTGATACCTAAATTTGAATTTTTGATTCTAATACTAATCGACACTTATAATTTGTAACAAATTTGAATTGAAATACCAAATTTAGGTATCAATCTAAACAAAGTACCTAACTGAACCAATCAAATTTAAGTGTAAAAATGACATGCTCATAAATCTAATTCAACTAGATGATGAATGAAGGCGTTATTATATAAAAAGTCAAAAAAATATTTTTTAAGAAATACCCCAAACCAGATTTGTTAGAAAAATATCCTTAAACTGTCAATGTAGGATGATCTTGTGTTCTGCAAAAAGTGAGGTCAGACATCGCGTTTTACGAAAAACGAATTTCATGCATTTACTATTGTTTTTATCTAAAAAAGTTGATGTGTCTCGCATTCTATAAAATGTGAGTTCCATTAATCGCATTTTATAGGATGCGAGGTAGTCTTAGTGGACAGTTTAGGGATATATTTTAACAAATCTGGTTTGGGGGTATTTCTTAAAAAAATAATTTTTGTTTTTTTTTTTATACATTATCGCCACGAATAAACGCTATTTGTAGAGATATTACAAGTCAATGAATATTTTTTAAAGATATTACACATATACTAATTTATAATCACTTCAATCGAATCTATTAAAAAAATATTTTGCATTAGATCTTACCTAGCCAGTGTGCATTGACGTCCCCATTTATATCATTATCTTTTGCGTTGTTGGATTGGACCAACCCCACCTCAAGTGGTGGGTCTTATGTCACAGTTTCCATGAGAAACTAACACAAACTACCTTTCAATTCCATATCGGATACTTCATTATTCCCTTTTGGACTTTGGAGTTAGTTCACTAACGATTATAGAATTCGGAGAATATGATTTTTCTAGTCAATAATGATGATCGTTTGATGATAGAAAATCCCAAGTGTCGAGTACCGACAGGGCGGAGAAGACATAATACACTTAAAGTCGCCCCATGTTCTACATGGTGTATTACAATCATTGAAAATCAACCATAAATTGAAGATAAACATGACCATTAATGCAATCATAAAAATGCTAATATTCAACTCCGTGTAGATTAGGATAAGATACTGAATGGGATTATGGGTGCCATTTAACCTTACGTGGTTGATAAAACTAATTTTATGTTCATATAAGCTAAAACTCAAAATGGCATGGATAAGATCGAAAGAGCCAAAAAAATGAACACGTTAAGAGCATGATAGTGATGCCCCTATTTTGTCCGGTGCTCGTGTCGTGTGCTGCCGACTCGCTACGGTTTCTATTCTAGGATTTTGTTTTCTTTGGCTTGCACTAAAGAAGCGTTATGTTTGGACACAAACGAAAGGAAATGAAGAAAAGTTTTATTTTTATTTCGATAGAAGCAATTAATTTTATTCAAAATATGAAATATCTCAAATTACAATAAAGATTTACGACTATAATCGTAAATTAAGCATATAATTAGGAAAAATTTCTATAATCATTGAAACAAAACTAACAAATTAAGATCACATAAGGATTGTACAAGGAAAGATTAAAAATATAACCAATAAACTCTAACAGAGATAGATACAAACAAATATGATAACATCGGCAGACGAACCACAAAAAGGGATTAACCTATTGATAGACAATCGTCAAACCGCAAATCAGACTCGAGCGGCATGAAAATATATCCACGAGCGCAAATCGGGTATCTGAATCCAATCCGAAGGTCCAAAGCAAGGAAGATCAACACAATATTAAATAAGTGATCTTGATGAGTCATAAAGATGTCAAATCAACCCTTAGAAAAAAAATGAAAAAAGGAAAAAAAAAACATAAAAAATATCATAAAGGCCGATGAAACGTTACATACAAGCAGACTTATTAAAAATCAAAAAGCAAAAGAAAATAGAGATACGCTATAGAAAAGAAAAATACAATAAAGAATACCAACGGTCGGCAACCAACAATAAAGTCGGTGCCATCGCATATCAAAAAAGACAAAAAAGGAAAAAGATGAGTGGCACACCAGTGAGAGAAATCTTTGTATTTGATTTTATTTAATCAGCATAAATCAAAGTGTGACATATAAACTCCGATTTTTTTAATTAATTATATATTTTATTAATTATATTCATCTTAAAAATTTATTTATATTTATCCATGCAAATTTTTTACGTTATTAATATATGTATATATTCTTTTAAAAAATATCTCTGAATCCGACACTACTCATATCCTACTTCAATCCCAATGTTAGACTCAATTCTCTTCATACTTTAGTGGGTAAACAAGACGAGCACGCTCAGCCCAGAGTATCATAAAGATAATTTAGGTCTTGTAGACTTGGGAATTGGGAGCCTAGGCCCAAGGAAACAGTCCTTTTCAAGATTCAACTCATTTCCATTTTTAAACCCTTATCAACTTTCAACTCTTCGAATCGATTCTATGGTGAACGATTCAAAACCAAAGTCGTTTGTCTTAATATATATATTTTTTATATAAGGAACGGACCAAAATCTAGAAGAAAAGAGAGAGAGAGAGAGAGAGAGAGAGAGAGAGAATTCAACCCTCCATGTATGACTTGTTAACCTCACAAAATCTTACCAATTCCAAAGCTCTGCTATTACATGAATTTGCATTACATTTGCCAAGTTTGGTGGTTTGCACAAAGTTGATGTATGGACAAAAATCATGGACAAAAATATTATTTCCGAAGCATATTTTCAGAAGAAAGTTTCGGAGATAATAACAAATCCAATAACATCAGGGCAAGAATTTGAATCTGATCCCATGTTCCGTTAGTGTCGATATGTACATGCAACAAAAAAAAAATGGAAACAGAAAAGGAAAAATTATGGCCAAAATGCTAATGAAGTTTCCACGGAAGGCACTCGAGCTGAGGGCAGGGCTGTGTCCAAGTAGTAGAGCATTCACCGCCACTTCCATTGCAACATTTGCAGACAACACCAAGAGTGGCAAAGATGTTGGAGTTTCCTGCAAATCGTTAAAAAAAACGAACTCATCAGTCATTATATTTAAGTTCATAGGAATTGACAAGCAAATTTCCAGATTCTTACTTTGTCGATCAGGTAGCCTGGAAATTGGTCTCGCCGCCGTAGCCAGTGGCACAGGTGATTTAGTAGCAGAGATTAGAAGCAATAACAGAAGCATAAAACCATGGAGTTTCTTCATTTCCCCTATCTTTTTGCAATATAATTAATAATCATAAAGGATATGTATTTATAGCGAAAATGAAGAACTAATGATGGGGGTTTAATTTAATGGGATATAATACACATCGGATATTTTAAGATTGTTGTTTAATCCAGAAAGGTGGCTTTATTTATTTTTTTTTGCAAAGGGGTTCTAGAAAACGAAAACTAGACTTGCCACACGTTTCCGACCAAAGAGAAAAATTTGAACTTTGGTCGAAACTTCCTGTCTTAAGTCATTGAAAAACAAAATAGTTCTAGAATATTTTTTTGTATAACCTCAACTGATAGATTAATCCAGATCAGGTAGTGCAGAGATAAGCACGATTCTCTCAACCTAGTTTACCCCATTCGCAATCGTTAGAATTCGAACTCCTGATCTTACTTAAAGGATTTCCTCGTCCTACTAAACCAACGGATTATTGGTGTAGTTCTAGAAGTTTTGTTCTAATTAAAAATGATATTCGAGTAAAACTAGACCTTCCATACGTTTTCAACCAAAGTAATATCTTATTAATATATTCATATAAAATAAGAAATTATGATCAATCAAATATTATTTTTAAACATAAATCGATGTTGTTTTATTATATCGATTAATCTTAAAAGATTAAAATTTAAAATTCAAAATAATATTAATGAG